CATGTGGTCCTTGGGGGTTTCCTCTGTATAAATCAAGTTTTATAGAGAGAGAAAATTAGTTCAATGGAAAAATAGAGAGTGAAGGGTGAGGCTATTTAGGGAAATGTATATCATGAGACTATTTATTTTGGGATTTTATACAATGAGGTCATTTATCTTTGATACAAGGTGATCATAATTACTTACAACCATCCGATGTGAAATTTGATAGTTTGGGTGTGTCACAGAGTTGGACAAATTTCTTTTGAAGTTTGAGCTTGGCCAATGGAATAAATACAACCACCCAATTTCACCTCCAATGGTTAAGATTAATTGTGACTGCCTTGTATCAAAAGTAAATGGTCTCATTCTATACTTTTCCATTTATTTTTTCTACGAAGAGGTCACATTCATCATTGACATTTAGATTTTAAATTGGGTTGTTGAGGATGTGTCATTATTTAAACACAAAGCTCAAAATAAACTTTATTGAATGTTGTGACGCAATTTCATTCACATTTAATGGTTAAAAATGATTATCACCTCTTTATATAAAAAATAAATGGTCTCATAGTATACAATACTTTTTTTTAATCCTCAAATAGGTGTTCTAAAGAGATAAAAATCCTGTACTGGGGCTTGTGAGAGAAAAATTGTAAAACCTTGTCTTCTCCATACTTGCATGGTGTTTTTTGTATGGGTGAGGTTGATTGCTTAGAGCGGTGTCGAGAAATATGGTTTCAATATTGGAAATCTTTGTGATAGCCGTAAAATATGTTTTCATAGTTAATTATAAAGTTTAAATCTTAAAAAATAGTTTAGAACGACGGATCTATAAAAACTTGAAAATCTTGAAAATTGACGATAAAAAAATACTTAAAAAAATACACTATTTTCAAAACTTGAAATCCAAATTTTTCTCATGTCATGCATCTTGATGTCAAGATGATAAATTTGAAGATATTTGGGCATCAAAACAACGTCTTCTAGTGAAATTTTTGAGGTAGGCTTTTATTTGATTGTTTCGAGCATGGGCTCTATATAAAATTTTCCCTTTTCATATTAATGGAAGAGAAATTTGTAGCCCTGTAGACGCAGGCAATTGCCAAACCACATAAATCTTGGTAATTTGTTTCTTTTAATTTTCTACACTATTTTTCTTTCTCTTTATTTGACCATACATAGGTTTTTATCCACTATGATAGACAAGGTTCCTGAATTGTCACTAGATAGTTTTCCCATATCTTAATAGAAAGCATATGATGGTCACAATAAGCCATTTAGATCATTATATAGCCCCTTGTGCTTGGCACTTTTGCTGTCTTCAAATTCGATTCTTATTGCTTAACTACCCATTAAAATAAATAAATTTAAATAAATAAATAAATAATAATGCTATAAAGTCATTAGAGTCCCATGTGATCAATTTTGTAGTCTTGACCTTTTCTTTCTTTGATAACCACCTATTAAGTTATGGAAATATATAATATGAGCTACACGACGAAGATGACAACATTACAATATTTGATGATGTTATAAGCTGCCTTGAATAATTTAATTTATTAATAGAAGATGTTATTTTATTCATTGTCTGTGGCGACATTATTCTTTTTGGTACCACATGTATACAGATGGTGGAAACCTTCACATTAGAGTATAACATGGAAGGCAGAGACATATTAAGAAATGTATGTCCAGTTGGGAAAATTAATTGCAGTATATATACAATTTATAAAAGAAATAAAAAGATAAATCAGGGGAAGAATTTAATGCGGATCGTGGGTTCCACAAAGTCCACCCCCTTATTTCTTATGGAGTCAGAATATGATTTTTTTTTTTCAAGTCACTTCAATGTTAGTAGATCTTTCATTTTAGGAAATGGTTAGCATGTGGCCAAGCCCACACAGATATAGAAATGCGGGATTGGCAATAAAAATATTTTTTAAACATAATTTGATCCTAATTTTAAAATATATATAATCTTTAACATGGAGATCATGAATATGAAAAAATAAATAAATTTTAAAAACTAAGAATAATAATTATATTAAAAATATTTGGATCACTAGCTACAATTATTTTTAAATAGACCACCTATTTGCATCCATTTTTAAGATGGATACTTTATATCTGTGGACCGCATATTGTTAAAATGTGGTCCAACCCGCATGAAATAATTGTTCATCATTTTATATCAAAAAAAGTTAGTATAGGTCTTATGAACTATGAAAAAAACAAAATAAAAAAATCAAGTTTGGAATGCACTATCTTAAGGTACATGAAATATATTTATTTTTGTTTATTAAGATTCAATCATGGTGGTCAAGTTCAAAGTCGTGCAATATTTGAATCCCAATAAATCTTTAAAATGGGTTTAGGAAAGGATTGTATCCGAATAAATGCGCGACCAAATAGTATTTTTAATTTCAAATATAGGCGACGTAACCTCCTCAACTTAATGACCAATTCGAGAAAAGGAAAATTAAAAGAAATTCTTACCCTATGGATGTGTGTAAAAAATAATTCTTAAGATGGAATAAGAGAAAGTTGGTCAGATCTCAATAACCCTAAATCATGTCATCTTTTTGTTTTGAAAAAAAAAAGAGTGATTTATGTACGGACTCTAAAATTTTAGGTAAAATACAAAATATTTTTTTTATTGACGTAAATTACAAAAAAGGTTGATCAACATACTTTTCAAATTTTTTCAAAATTACCCCTTGATCAATACAAATTTTACTTTATTTTTTATTTTTTATTTTTTTCATTAGTAGGATAGTGCCCCAAGCTTTAAGTTATTGCCCTACTAATAAAAAAGCTAAAATAAAAAATAAAAATTTGGGTTGACCAAAGGGCAATTTTGAAAAAAATAAAAAAAATATAGATTGACCGACCTTCTTTGTAATTTCCTCACATTTCGCACTTCACCTAAATTTTAAGATTAGTACGTTAATCACTCAAGAAAAAAAACCCTATCTAATGATTAGAAAGTGGATTCTAAAATCTCAATTTGAAAAGATACTCTTAATTAGTCTCTTAGCCAATGTAGAAGAAATACAACTTGCTCTGCCGAACATTTAACAAGGATTGTTATTAGGGAGTGCATAATGAGGCCATTTTTCATTAATACAAATGTCACAATTATTTATAACCATCCCATATGAAATATGAGAGTTTGGATGTGTCACAAAATTCAAAAATATTTCTTTCAAACTTTGAGTTTGATCAATGGAATAAATGCGGGAGCCTAATTTCACATCCAAGATTAACATAGACTGCCTCATTGTATATTTTTCTATCTTTTTTTTGTGAGATTAAAAGAAATGGAGACACAATGGTCCTTATTACTTGTTTTCTTTAACAAATGGCATCGATTCCCGTTCCAAAAGCTTGAGCTCATGGTGGGGACAATCACACAAAATCATGGTGGGAAAATCATTTATCTTGGGAATCACAAATCACAAAATGGTTAAAATCTCAAACAGAGCCAAGCTAGAAATGGATGTCTGTGACATCGCATTTCGACGAAGCATACAAACATGAAAATCAAATTACTGTTTGTGGGAATAAAGAATCACAAAATGGTTGAAGTGGAAATCAAAAGTCACAGAACAGAGCCAAGCTAGTAATGGATGACTGTGACATCGCATTCAACCACAAAGCTCCTGGTGACCGTGTTCGCAGAGTAGGTCTTAGCGAGGAGAAAGCCACGAGCAAGACGAAAGGCTCCACTCCCTCCCACAATGGACATCTCCCTTACATTCTCCATAGTGGGATTCCTCCCAATCATAGTAAGCGTGCTTCCGTTGAACTCTCCGGTCGTGAACAGAAAGTTGAGTCCCATGAAAAGGCTGAATTCAGTCTGAGATGCCGAGGCATAAACTCCCTGCATTCTCCCTATTACCTTAGAAGTTATGGCAGGGCCCTGAGTCAGAGGGTCATCTACTACGTTCAACATACCGAAGAATGTCGAAGAGGTTATGGTGGTGTTAGCCATGGCCACAATCAAAGCCGTCGCATTCTTAGTACCGCTCGCTATGTCGTGGAAGTAGAAGTGGAGATAACTCACCTTCTCTTTCCCTAGGCCTAAGCTCTTCTTCCAGTCCGCACCTGCCTTGCAGGCGACAATGGAGGAAAAGAGAAGCATGAGCAAGACCACCAGCCCTCTCATTTTTCTTTTTCTTCTTCCTGGGTTGGAGCCCAAAACCTCAATGTTGCAGGCACAAGAGAGTTACAGTTGAGCTGTAGACTGAAACTTGTGGTACAAAGGGTGAGTTCAAAGAAGGGTATTTATACGGGCTTTATGGACAAAAATTATGCCAAATGCCATTGGAAGGCTTTGAGGGGCTGCTTGCCAGTTGCTATCTGAGAGGCCCTCGTGCTGTAGAGGTTGTCATTAGTGGGAGCCCCGTCGTATAAGGAGTATTCCCCGTAACTTTCGTGATTTGGACTTCGGTTAACATTTTTCTTTTTTTGGATGAATCATCAGGTCCCTACTTGTTTTATTAAAAAAACAATAATATATTACATGAACAATTCTTGAAACCCTTGGCAAGAGAACATTGTGATAAAATGAACAGCATTACAAAATTTAGGGGAGAGCATGCAAAATTTAACATTTAAGTTTTTAGTAATTTACGTACGGACAGAAAACAAAACTGAAATGGGAAAATTTTGGGCAAAAATTACGTGAAAGGTCAGTCAACCCATATTCTTTTCAATTATTTCCTAAATTGGCCCCAATCCAAAGATAGCATCTTCTGACCGCTTTTTAATTCTTATTTTTTTAGTTTTTTTTCTGGTAGCAGTAGCATAGTGCCCTGTTCAAAAGGCAGTCCGAAGTTGGCATCTTCAGACCACCTTATTTCTTAGCAAACAAATGAGCTAACGCCGTTTGAGGATGCCAACCACGGACAGCCCTAAAAAGTATCAGAGAAGGCAATCCAAGAAAGGGCACCTCATACCGCTTCCGAATGCTAAACAAAGTCATTTCTTTCCTGTGTGAGGATGCCAATCTCGAACCTCTTTGAAGATCACCGCATAAGGTGGTCCGATGATGCTGCATCGGATCGACTACGCAGTGCCCCAAACATTAGGGCAAAGCCCTACTATCGAAAAAACATAAAAAAAAAAGTTAAAATGTTGTTCGAGGATGGTATCCTCAGACTGAAGGGAAATTTTGAAAAAATAAAAAACTCCAGGTTGATCGACCTTCCGTGTAATTTTAACTCAAATTGACTCATTTTATATTTTAGTATTCTTTTGATATTGATAGATACTTCACTCTAACCTTTTTATTAGAAAATATTTGGTGGTTTTCCAATACCATCGTCAATTAATGCTCGGCCACCCATATAGGGCGAGCATGCTTGGGGGGTGTTTTGGATCCAACTATTTATAGATCATCTTTCTTTTTTTTGCTTTTTTCTTTTTTTGAATGATAAAGTGAATTCATCAAGTACTATCAGAGGTGCACAAGGAAAGAAAGGAAGAGAGAAGAAGTAAGAGAAAAGAAAAAAAAAGCAGGGTTGAAAAAGAGGGAGAGAGAGAACTCACTTCAATAGTGACTATGGCTGAGCTTGTTCAGGTTTAGATACACCAATATTTATCTCCCAATGTTCAACTTCATTGGCAGTAACATGAGTGAAAATGCACAAAATAAGATAAAAAGGACATTGCCCAAAGTGGCCCCTTAGTAATCCGCTTTACCTCAGCTGAAAGAATATCACCAAAGATTCAGAGTCACCTCTTGAACTCCCATCAAAATTCAATCTGTATTTGTTTTGGTATGATGGAATCCAATTAGAATATCTAAGAACTCCATTTATGTTTGGAAAAAGTCAAATTAAGGTGCATCTCAAAATTCATTAGATTGTTTTGATGCTCAAAAATTAATCATCTCGACCTCGAGATATATTGACATGAGAAAATATATATTTCAACTCTTAGAAACAATGCATTTTGTAATGTATTTTCTGGACTGTCAATTTTCAAGTTTTCATAGATTTGCTCGATATAAACTATTTTTGAAGTTTTAAAGTGTTTCTAATTAAAATAAGGGATTGTATACAAAGAGACCATTTACCTTTGGCACAGGGAGACCACAATTATTTATAGACTACAATTATTTATAACCATCCGATGTGAAATTTGATAGCTTGGGTGTGTCATAAAGTTCGAGAAGATTTCTTTTGAAATTTGAGCTTGAACAATGAAATAAACGCAGCCACCCATTTTCATATCCAATGATCAAGATTAATTGGGGTCGCCTTGTATCAAAGGTAAATGGTCTCATTATATACATTTTTTAAAAATTTTAGGCCATCACAAAGTTTTCACAACACCGTTCGACCATTTGAAAATACACCTTACTTTGATTGTTTAGTGCCTCGGCCTTATACAAACAACACCCTTTATGTTTTGAGATCATGTTGACCTATGAAAAAATAATTTGGCGCAAAGAAAAAAAAAAAACAGAAAAAAAAAAAAAGAAGAACAACTCCAAATCGAACTGCCCCCATAAATGATTGTGCTTCGACCATTTGATGGCACAAGTAGATGTAGGGTTTTAAGGACTCCAAATTTTCTATTGTAAAATATTTATATGCTAAACGCGGATAATAGTGGGATTTTCATGTAAAAGAAATCCCCCCGTAAGTTAATAATTTGGGCACAAGATCATGTGATAGGTGGTCTCGAGTGACGACTTTCTCAGCTACCTAATTTACATAATTAGCAAATCAACCCCTAATTTTTATAAATCAGCAAGTCAATTGTTTTATATCTCGCATGCATGTGCATGAGAGAGAGAGTGTGTACTCACAATAGAGAGAGTGAATAACCAAGAGAGAGAAATCTACACACCCATATTATAGGATACCTAAATTTGAGAGAGGGGGAGAGCGAGATCAACCATCTTTTCATATCTTAATAAGAGATTTCCATATCCATCCTTAACTTAATATTGTTTTAATATCTTAATTAGGGAGGCACAAGAGAGAAAGATTTCTAGATCCTCCTTATCTAACATTGTTTCTTCTTAATTGTGTTTAAAACCTCTTAAAGTTAAAAAGGTGTTTTTTTTTTTTTTTATCACACATATTTCTAAAAGTTGTGCATGCAAGTCATCCCTATTTTTTCCCTTTTTTTTTTGTTTCAAACTCCTAAAATGGGTACATATCCCCAATTCAATCCCTATTGTGCTTAACTAATAACAAGAGAGAGAGAAAGTACCAATAATTTAAAATTTGATAAATATGAAAATTTAACGTATTTGATTAATATAAAGAAGCAATAAATTAGGGTGTGGTTTCCATATGGTTGCACCTTAAACAATCCAATTAAGGTGCACCTCCAAATTTTAGTATAACATATAATTTTGGTGTAAATTTTTTTTAGGATTATTTGAAAATCTATTTTCATATCTAATTATAAAATTTTATACTGCAAAAATGGATAAAATCAAGTAGATCTATAAAAGTATGAAAATCTTGAAAATAGACGGTGTAGATAATGTGTTGCAAGATGCGCCTTTTTAGAGACTCAAAATCTTTCGTTTTTTTTTCATATTCATACATCTCGATGTCGAGATGATTAATTAGAGGGTTTTTTGATATTAAAACAACCTTTTCCGATATATTTTGAAGTGCAACTCTATTTCTACATTTTGATGATGCAAACGTATATAAACTTTTTCCATAAAATTATCGTGCCTTATTATATAATGGGTGTGGTTTCTATACGGTTGCAACCTTAAACAATCCAATTAAGGCGCATCTCCAAATTTTATCATAGCTTGTAATTTTGTTGTAAAAAATTCTTAGGATTATCTTAAAATCTATTTTCATATCTAATTAGAAAATTTGAAACTCCAAAAATAGTTAAAATCAAGGAGATCTATAAACTTATGAAAATCTTCAAAAAGGCGGCCTAGATAATGTGTTGTAATGATGCACTATTTCTGAAACTCAAAAACATTTTTTGTTATATCCATACATCTCGAGGTCGAGATGATCTAGTAGGGGGTTTTCAACATTAAAACAACCTTTCTAATAGATATTTGAGGTGCATATGTAATTCTACATTTTAAGGTTGCAACCTTACATAAAAATTTTCTTTATATAATAACTAAATAAGAGAAAATAAAATTCAAGATAGAGAAAGATAGGCATACCATATCAAAGATTGAGTTTCCATTTTTAATGAGCGAGAGAGATTTCCATATCAATTATTATCTCCACATTGTTTCCATATCTTAATTTGAGAGAGAGAGATGACATTCATTTCATATCTTAATGAGAGATTTCCATTAAGAGAGGCACAAGAGAGAGATTTCCATATCCTATCTTAATGAGAGATTTCCATTAAGCGAGGCACAAGAGAGAGATTTCCATATCCTCCTTATCTCAACGTTGTTTCGTCCAATTCTTTTTAAAACCTCCTAAAGTTGGTAACTATTAGATCCTGTAACTTTTTTGTTTTTGTTTATCCATCCCTTTCCTAAAAGTTGTACATGCAAGTCATACCTAAAATTTTTTCCCCTATTTTTTGGTTCAAACCTCTTAAAATGGGTACCTAACCCCAACTCAACCCCTGTTGTGCCCAATAATCACGAGAGAGATAGAAAGTACCTACAATCTAAAATATGAGAAATATGAAAAGTTAACCTTTTTTATTATAATAATATATAAAAGAGCAATAAAATTTATCTTATTATATATATTTATATATATATATATATATATATGAAAAATCTTTCTAATGCCTATAGGTGAAAATGAACAGTGATTTCGTTTATGCTCATCATCTTCCAAAGTTCATCGCACGGTCACGATTGTATGTTAGTGTTTTAATTTTTATTTTTTATTATAAAATAGAATGATTTGAAATTTGGAGTGTGTATACATCTTAGTGAGATGCATCTAATAAAAATATGAAAAAAATATTTCGTAAAATATAAGTTGACCAAAATACCCCCATAAATTTTCAGAGGTATTTTGGTCAATTTATATCTTACGAATTATTTTTTTATATTTTTATTAGATTTTTCTATTCTTGATGAACACATGCTCCAAATTTCGGATAATTCTGATTAGTAGAAAAAATGAAAAAATGAAACACTGCCAGACAACTGTGACTGAGTGATGAACTTTGGACGGTGATGAGCATGT